CACCAAGGTTTTCTTTGTCGGATGATTTTGCTTCTACGTTTTCTTCATCCTCGTCTCGTTTACGCAGGGCAGAATGACAGATACATTAACACGTGCACTTATATCTACGTGTTTATCGACAGATGGTCGTTAATCTAAAACAAAGTAGAATTAAACAGATATCTGTTCAGAAACAAAGGCAACGCTAGAAAAATATGCAATTCTTGAAACTTGTTTTTCTTAATAAACAAATAAACCTAAAGAGAAATGCTATTTCAAACTCTAAATATCAAGATATTCGTAGCAGTAAAAAATTCCATCTTTTACAGAGATGGTGAAACGAACACGTAAATTTGGGAGGCATTACTACGTCGAATTTCCGACACCCTTGGTCACAAAAGTGTTTTGAAGAAAGCAATCTTTATTTCGTTTCTTGATATCATCTGTCACGCATGGTCAGATCCTTCCGTTAGTTTTGTCCATGATTCATCATCCCCTGTCCAAAGGGTAATGATGTGATTTTTCACATTGCAGTCTTCATGGACCAGCTGATCAGTTGATGTCTCTGTCCTTCTTTCGAGTTTTTAGTCAGTGTATCTTTCATTCAGTACAAGTTTCCCTAAGGACATAAGCAACTCTGTCTACTTTGATTATTGGAACCCTTAAGGGTCGATGACACGTTTTTTCCGCCTCCTTAGTGGTTGAAGAGTATACGCGCTAATAATTTTTCCCAGTCAGTTTTTGCCCCTGTTATATATAATCTTGGACGTTCTACGCAATTAGATGCGATACAAAATTTTGCCATGTGAAAAAATATTAAAATGTTACGGAATGCCTAAAAATTTCGTAATTATATTGCAGGGGATGTTGGAAGAAAGCTGTTCCACATGTACAATTAGAGTCGACGGAGGATCATGCGATTTCCTTTTTGCTAATTATGGAGTTCGTCAAGCAGATCTACTTTCGCCTTTGCAGTGCGACATTGTTCGTCGGTTTCACTGCTGCAGTAGTGTTGATTGTGAGCAAAGATAAGAATATCATGTAAGGAGAATACGCATTTATAGATATCAGTCCAGGTTTCTTGTTTAACTGGATAGACAGTGTTCTTTGGCAGTACGAAAAGTTACCTTCGCCGCTTCAGGACTTCAGTATGCGTCACTGTAGAAATCTTAGGCGCTTGTTTAACACGTGGGGTATTACATACCGATCCGATACAACAACGTCTGCAAGTGCTTCAGACAAGTTTGTGCCTTAAGTGTTGTTAACAGCATATGTAGATCTTTACATTGGTTGTTGTGTAATATCCTGAGGCACTATGAAATAAGTAAATTTGCATAGACGCGTATCTGCATCTGAGTCGGTAAAAGAATGTCCGTGCTATAACATAAAAATCCGCCTGTGCTTTGCCTCAGTCGGATAAGTGCTGTTGTTCGTGGCCACCGTTTTAACGAAGGGCCACGTATGGTGTATTTATCTTGATTATCGCCTGCATTCACATGCATAAGCAGGACGTTTCCTGTATTCGCAGTTTCTCGACACTTCTGCCCTAAAGCACTGGCCCCTGCATTGTGGAAGGAACATTTCCGCTCCTAACGCAGATCTGTCTCTCCTTTGTTCCTCCATGTCGCATGCTGGCTTCCCGGCTGATCTCAGCTTCTTTTGTGTTTCGATTACCACTTGAGAAGGGGTAATAAAGGATTAATGCTCCACCAGTCTGATGTAGCGAGCCGTCTTTTCTTTGTCTCTACATTTGGCGAAAACTTCTATTCCTGCAAGTGAATCGGTAATTATTTAGTCCTACCATTTAACCCTCATCATGCATCGAAGTCAGTGCTGCAGTGCACGGATCATCTGTTGTTGTTATTCGTTCGTCATAACAACTGTCACCATGCGGCACAGCCGCACCGGTTTTACCGGGTTAATGTATAGGCAGATTTTCGTGGCAAAGCGTACTGCTCAATGCGCGTATTAGACATTTTATTAAAAGCAAGGGTGGTCTTCTTCTGTAATTCTGACTGGACTAAAATCAAAGAATAACGGCTGAACAGGAACAGCATCTCCTGTTTCTTCGCAATTGGCGAAGGACTCTTTTCTTTTCCAAGCACAGGTGTCTGTATTAGATGTATATGTTAGAAAGAAAAGGTTCGTTTTGTAAGATAAATTGGGTGCGATTAACCATTCACGCTAATCCATGAACTTTTTAAATGCAACCGAAATCGACCAGGATGTACTGATGAACGAAATGGAGGGAGGTCGGCATTCAGAGATGAATTATTCCTCTATACTGCGATTATTGTTACGTTGTGTAGCAGTGAAAGTGACGCAAGGTTGAAAATGCGATGAGAACGTCACAAGCCGGGAACGTTCTGCTCGTGTAATCGATTTTGGGGATGAACGTAACAGATTATAGCTCTAACGTTAGTCGTGACAGACTAATGGAGATGAGCACGTATTGAACTACTCTGTTAAGAATCAGTCAAAAGCAGGCTAAACGAGAAAATGTGAGGCATCACTCTGGTTTTTCTTTAAGCAACGACGTCCCTGATGAACGTTTAAGAACTGTTGAAGTAGCCTATTTAAATTCTTAAATTTGTGTTTACACCTTATGCTGAATTTTAGTCAACCATCATGGATGTCAAGGCGAACTGGAGCCGTCAAGCGCATGATTCAGACAGCATGACCGTATTTTTCGCACCCTTTGGCACGATTACACCAAAGCACCATGTTGTACTTATTATTCGTAGATCAGCGACCTGTTACCGGTTTTTCGGTTGGCTGCACCGAAACACATTGGAATGAATTTCTTGTTGAAGGGAATTAGCAGTTAATAAGAGAAAATTCACCCTGCGTGCTGCGTTTAAGCCTGCACTCTAACATGTAAACTAACCTGTCTGCCATTTGCGCCACTGCCCCTCC